TAATTTATATATGTGCTTTTGTAGGTAATATTTGAGAACTTCCACCACATATCTGTTTTTATCGAATTCTAAATTCACGAAAGTCTCTAATATAAGTTTTGTGTCGTGTATTGTGTAAAGACTTTACTCGGACAATTGCAACATGTCAAATAAACTTGTAAAAGACTAAAGTTATGTAGTGGTTCTATGGTAGTGATTTTGTGTCGAGTACTTGAGATTTCTGGAAGATGATCCAGTGGTGCTTGAAGACCTGGAAATGTGTTCTGACAGATGCTGCAGAGAATTTCTAACAATGTAAGTGCAAAGCATGTTTTATACAAAGCTAGTCAAAGAAAATTCTTCTGGAATTAGATACAGGCATTTATCATACCATATCTGCAGGGCCGTGCTTGGTCAGCGTGCATTCGCTGCCGTATTGAAAGTCCGCTGTATATATCTAAAACACCACCGTAGTAAAAATCAGCCAAAGGCGGCCGTATTTAATGCGAGATCGAATCAAAAACGGGCAACTCTAACCTCTGTTTACAAATAATTTTTAAGTGTATAAACTTGGTGTAAGTGGCAAGTTGCGTGAACTCTCCAACATGTGTTAATAATCCACTTAAATATAAAAAATATATTAATTCAATAGTACATTGCAATGTGAAAAACTATCGCAATTCTTGCCTGTTCATGTTTGTTCGTTAGGTGTGAATGCCCCTTCATGTGCATTCATACCATAGAACACCTTTTGACATTTTTGTACCTGATATTTGGTCAACAGCCCATAAGTTCGTTGCATTTACGTTTATGTTAACTTATCTATGGTTCGTTGTGCAACCTATGAGTGATTCTAGTAACTTGATATCAAAAGGGTATTAATGTAAGTTTTGTTATCGACTTTTATATTTTAGGCATGTTTGATTATATAATAGCTGTCTAGGAACACGTTTGAGCTGACTCCTGCGTCGCGCCAATTTTTGAACGAGGTGTCAATGTAATACATTTCATTTCGCCCGTATTACTCCTACTTCAAGTTGTATTTTTTGGTCTCCATACAGCACGATAAAAATGGTGCGATTTGTACCAACTCTGAGTCTCTCATAGCACAGTTCCCATATTGCACTATGTAAGGTTCTATAGAACGCACTACGAATCAGCCTGAATTGTATGTTAAATACTAGTTTTTAATAGCACGGTCTCCATACTGCACGGTACGCACTTGCCGCGTAAAGCGAGAGTTTACTGTAAAATAATAGAAGGGAATTGGCCATGGGGAGTTATCTCCGAACAAATGCTTATCTATGGAATTGGCAAAGCGGGCGCTGAGGATCCCATTAATTTTTTCTGAATTTGTTGTACCGTTTAAAAGACTTAAATTTCCAATTTAGTGTAGAAATTGAGACTCATAATTTTATTTGTAGCAGTTAAGAACATTTAACATCACTCATATTGATGTATATGCATTTTGGTGTAAAGAGTAATGTAAAAAACATACTTATTATTTTTAGGTAAACTGTAAATATTAATAAAGGATTGTAAAAAATTGTAGACGTGGTGGGTACAGGGCAACGTCTGTCGGATCATCTAGTATATATATATTAAAATTTAATTTATTTTTTATGTAATTTATTTATCGACATCCAGGTAGAATTTTCCCAGCGTTGTATTCTCCTCAGGAAATTGTTTTCGCTCCATTCGCATTTAAGATATATGACGTTCAACAGCACCATAAACATCCGCTGGAGCAAAATGAATTTGTCAATATGTGATCAAATAAAAATCAATTTTACTAAAAATTCACCACCTACCGTGGTTGACCAATTCCGTGACGTGTCCCCTTGTGAAACATTGGCGACCCACTGATTCATAATGGCAGTACTATCGTATTTGGTGACAGTACCATCACTGTTATTTTTATTTATTCCATTTGTGAAATCTATAGACACTATATCCGAGTCGTAGAACATTTTGGCAATCGCGTTGAAGCGCTGCCTTGGCTGGATCATGTGGGAAATGTAAATCCTGGTGTCGAAATCTAGATGGTAGGCAGGATTCTTGGCCTGGAGGAATAAATTGTGATAAAAATATAAGTAATATTAATAATGTTTGAATGTATTCAACCTTTAGTGCTATAATTTTTCCTGCAGTAATATGAATTTGAGAAATATATAATTATCTTTACAGGCATAAAAAAGCTAAAGTTATACAACGTATATAACCACTTAGATTTAAAATTGGTTAATTGTTTTTCAACTTTGCAAAGGAGTGGTTTGTTTTCACTAGATAATTCAAATTGCTTGTTTTGTGTTTTCTCACAGAATGTCATTTGATTTTGATTATTTAAAATAAACGAAATTTAAAGAAAAATGTTATATTAAACATTTTTTTAATTAATTTATATTTTTCTTTTGACCTTGGTTTGATTTTTTTATATTTCAAAATATTTAACCAACTCTACTCTCAATAAGTACACAGTAAGACTCTTTTGCGCTAACTTTGTTAGTTTACAAAGGTTTTGTGGCTAGTTTGTGTCATCATTAGTAATTTTATTGTAAACTAATAAGTTAAAACTTGAAAAAATTGTATGTTTGTATTTATATAATATTTAATGGCTTCACGTGTTGCAGGAATGTAGAACTAAATTTTCTATCAAAATTTAAAAGCACTTCAAAATTATTCATGTATATGAGTGATAAATAAATAAAACAGTGAAAATTTGTCTGTATATTTAAAAATATAAAAATATTTAACAAATTTTATACTTGAGAAAGGAAAAGCAAACAAGTGTACTGTAAAACACAGGTTAGTGAAAGAAAATAAAATTTATTCTACACCAAATTTATTTATTTCAATATCCAACGACTAATTCATTGCAGTGTAAATTTTTAGAGAGTTTACTAAAAGAATGGAATATCGTTATTTAATTTATAAAACCCTTAATGTTAAAATTGAAGATTCAAACAAACGTCGTTTCGATTTCAAAACAGAAGAGGCGTTCGAGTTCCTGAAACGCCATCATCGACCGAGCGAACGTGCACGCTCTGCAGTCGCACGTCTACAAGTCTTTTGCACATCTATGCTTTGCGACTATAGGAGTTGCGTGAGGGAGTTGTCATTGCGAGTGAGAGTTCATTTCCATCGTGGCGATTGCTGGAAGAAGACATCGAGACGTCGTCGAACACGGACGAGCGGGCCTGACCCTTCGCTGCCTGTGGAGTACGTGCGACCTGCGAGCGTCACCTGGTACGTTGCACTTGTGCTAATTATATTTCTCTTTGCGGATTCACTCGGATTGCATTTCGTGTTTTAAGATGTTTTAGATTTAATTGAAACCTTTCCTCATTTTTGTTTTTTTTTTTTTTTGAAAACGTGTGCTCGATTTATGTAGTTTTTGCTCAAGTCGTACTACTGTCTAAGACGTACGCCGGATATATTTAATTATTTTATTTTGCATCATTTGGTGCCCACTGTTAAATAAAACTACATATTATTATTATGTTGACTGGGCAAGAGTTCACAATTGAATGGCTGGCGGTCATTGTGCAGAAGAAATAATCGAAAGTAATAGTAAAATGTTGTGAAAGTAAAAAATGACTGTTAATTCATTTTGTGAATTACTATGAGTACATTTATGCGGATCGTTTAATTTGAAGTCTTATTTACATCATTATCATCTGCTAATTCACTTCAATTCAAGATCAGAAGTATTGTGTAAATTGGACCACAATCATAATGTCATCAAGAATTTTAAAGCAAAATTAGTTTTCAAAATTAGTTGAAAAAAAGTTTCAATTTGAACAACAAATTGACAAAGAATAGTTACAATTTGAATGAATATTTGAATATTTGGTGACGCATCAACAATGACATTTAATAATGTATGTATAATCAACTAAATTCAATAATAATTTGTGTATTTTGCAGGTGCGGGTAGGTTTGCGTTGCGTTTGCTGCTACCAGAGTCCTTCAGTTTTTATACGAACATTGTTACTGTGACGCTCTGAATGTGGTATTTATTGGAATTGCATTTGGCACGAATAGATTTATTAACCGGTGATTTTGTTTAAGATATTAATTGATCAATACTTTAATTGTCACTATAACTTTTAGAAATTTACAAAGTCATTAAGGCATTGAATTTCATGATTCGAATGATCACGATATGTATTGCATGTGGGTTAATTTATTAGTTAGGTAGCATCAGTAGTTTTAATATTAACAAATACTAATACACTAATCTATTCAACTATTGAATAATAATGTGGTCGTTTGAATCATTTGAGATTATGCAATGTGGATTTGACATATTACATTAAATTTTAATTTTCACTGTTTGAAATTCATGTTAATGCATTTCATATAAAACCAAGTGCAATTTTTAAACTGCTAGAAAATTTCTACATTCTATTTCTGGTCAAGATGAAATCACATGGAGGCCTCAAAATATCATATCAAGCAAATTGTTGAGAATCCAATGGCCAAGTATCGAGTGAAAATTGAACACTGACTCACTTCACCGGGAATCGCTCTGAAAATAATTCTAAAAGTACGTTTTTATCCATAATCAGTATAAATGTGAACAATAAACAATGTTTATTTTTTTCCAGGTACTTTCAACTACTGCTGCTCTGCACACTGACCCCTCCACCAGGAATCGCTCTGAAAATAATTTAAAAAGTACGTTTTTATCACATAATCAGTATAAATGTGAACATTAAATAACATGTTTATTTTTTTTCAGGTCCTTTCAACTACTGCTGCTCTGCACACTGACCCCTTAACCAGGAATTGCTCTGAAAATAATTTAAAAAGTACGTTTTCATCCATAACCAGTATAAATGTGAACAATAAATAACATGTTTATTTTTTTCCAGGTACTTTCAACCACTGCTGCTCTGCACACTGACCCCTCCACCAGGAATCGCTCTGAAAATAATTTAAAAAGTACGTTTTTATCCATAATCAGTTTAAATGTGAACAATAAATAATGTTTATTTTTTTCCAGGTACTTTCAACCACTGCTGCTCTGCACACTGACCCCTTCACCAGGAATCGCTCTGAAAATAATTTAAAAAGTACGTTTTTATCCATAATCAGTATAAATGTGAACATTAAATAACATGTTTATTTTTTTTCAGGTCCTTTCAACTACTGCTGCTCTGCACGCTGACTCACTTCACCAGGAATCTTTCCAGAAACATGTTACCAGGTATATCTTTAACCATATCAGTATAAATGCAAACATTCCTATAATGTTTTTTTTGTTTTTTGCAGATCTTCTCGATCCAACTATTACTGCCCTGAAGCCTTAAAATCAAGAGCTCGGAACACTCATTCATGTGAATGACTCGCAAGTGGTTTTTTTCAATGACTGTCTATAATTATGCATGATTAACTTAACTCTTATTAACTCAATAACATGACTAACCTCACTAACTTAATTAGGCAGTTAATATAAAAACCACTTGTTGAGTTTTACTATGAAGGTCTTAATGGGGTTACGTGGAAGACACCGCTGCATGATTAATCAGGTAATTTATTCTTTATAGTATATTTTATGAACCTTGTTACTAATTCATTGTTTTCGTTTATAGGGTAACCAACTTCAAGCCAAGTGCTCTTCAACGCTCAAGTTGCTCATGAGTGAGAACAATCATTTGACCTACTAATTATGCTGTCCGTCCGTCCGTCCGTCCGTCTCTTCACCAGAGAAGATGCCTACTATGATTTATTAAATAGTTAAGTGCTTAGATGTTAATGAAATAATGAATAAATCTATTGTATTTAATTTAACTTGTTGTTTTAATTTAATTATGAGCCACTTCACGGCTAAATCACATCATGCTGTAACGTAAATTACAGAAATATTTAAACATGTCTACATTTTAAAAATTTCTTGTGTTATTAATAGGGATACTTATTGAGTGCACTCTTTAGTGTAGTCAATTGTGTAGAACAGTTTCTTCACTGTTTGGGTGTTTTCAAACATCTTGCCGCATCTTGGTTAAGCTCTTTATACCTTTGCTTCGACTCGGTAGAACTCTGCGTCATTGCTTTGACTCGATAGAAACGCGTTGACAATAGACTTTGCTTTTTTCCAAACCCTTATGTTAGTCAAGTGCCTTAAACATTTAATGTGTCAAACCGATGTTTTCTCTTGTTTAAATATTATACTTTCTATTATTTCTTTAAATGGTGCACTTTTTTTCTTATTGTTAGCTATAAATATCACTTAATTTAATATCATACTGTGTTATTATTATATATACTATAATATATATATATATATATATATATATATATATATATATAATACAATTAGACAAATGTTAATGTATTTTAGTCATTTTCATTACTGTAATTGTATGAATAAATTAATATAATATAATTGTATTATTAAATACTGTGATACATTGATGGGAAGTTTTGAATAAAACTAACTGAACTTTATTTGAAGTGTTTCATTTCACGCAATTTTCAGTGATATATGTTAGAAACACACCGTATAGGTATAGGTATTATAAACATTAATATATTTGTTGATGTTATCATAAACATTAATATACTTATTAATTCGTTTTTTGGCGAGGATTTATTATTTTGAATAAATTTCATGAAATACATTACAATTTTTGTAATCTAATTCCATTATGATCAATGAAGTTAATAAAGTTATGACTTTGATAATTTCAATTAGACTAATCTATGGTTATTCACTCATTTCAAACATGTCAAAAATGATAACACTTTTCACTCACTTGAATCTATACTATTATTCAAAGTGTTAATTAATTCATTTTAATTAATATACTTTAAACATTGGTCAGTTTTACTTAACTTCGGACTTATACAATAAAGATCAATTTCTCAAATTGATTTTTTCCCTCTTTCGCACAATGACATCTTCATTTTTATTGAGATAATTTATTTTTATTAGATTATTTTATTATTATATTAATTGTATTAATTTTCACCGACACGTTTACCACCCCTTATCCTTACTTCACACTACCTTAACCTAATACCTACCTACGTTAAGAACTAATACTCTTACCTTGCTTATGTTTACCACGTCTCGAACCTGCTACCCTGCTCTCTCCGTTGACTCCCACCTCCTAACGCGCGACGCCACGACGATCACATTAGCAAACCGTTGCAAAGTAGATGATATTGTATATTTTAAACGGAAAAAAACTAACAGGTCATATGGCCAAAAAAAAGTTGGGTTTGTATGGCCTGTGTTGGCGTAATGGTTAGAGTGATGGCTTCGTACCATAAAGGTACCGAGTTCGAATCATACCTCAGGACAAAAAAAGAGTATTGTTCACGTTGTGGTATTTATTTAGTGTTAAATAATAACACAAAATTAATGTTTAGATATAACAAACTAACAAGTCATGAGGCCGAAAGAAAGCAGAATCGATGTGGCCTGTGCTGGCGTAATTGGTAGAGCGATGGATTCGTACCCATAGAGTGCCGAGTTCGAACCATACCTCGGGACAAAAAATGGAAAGCGTGGAATTTATTATTTATTGTAAGATAGCACAAAGATAAAATTTGGATTTAATAAACTAACAGGTCATGAGGCCGAAAAAAGCAGAATCGATGTGGCCTGTGTTGGCGTATGCTAGCGTGCTAGCTTCATGTCAACAGGGTACCGAGTTCGATTCATACCTCCGGACACAAAACGCAAAATAGCGTGACTGTTGACGCTGTGGAACGAGGTATGCACGGAATCACATCCGTTCGAATTTGAGACCCCAGGCAGGTATGCTCCCCTCGATCTCGATTGAGAGGAGAGATACGCGCGAGAATCCCGTGTCATCCCCTAATGAACCCGCAGCAGCCCCGAAAAGGGGCGAGGGGGGATTATAGGGGGGTGTGGGGTTCGCGAACCCGCGACCCTGTGGTCCGACCCTCCCGAAAAGGGAGAGGGGGGACTATAGGGGGGTGAGGGTTTCCGGCCGACGACCACCACTGGGTCGCGCCGGTTGAAAAGCTGGGTGCGTCACAGGGTGGGTCGGTGTGCGAGTCCCCGGAGCACCCTCGAGTGCGATGATGGGGATGTGGGGTGAGGAAAATGCAGTGACGAGGAAAAAAGGGGTGGAAA